TGCGCAAGCCTCCGCTCCTTCTTATTCCCCTGTGCGAGCGCTGCCATGCTGGATCCGAAGCGTACCGCTTCTGCGGACGTGACCATGTCGGCCTCTTTCTTCTCCATGGCCTTCTTGTGATCGGCCGCGCTTTGCAAGCCCGAGTCGTGCGTGGTCTGATCTAGGACGCGAACTGTACCACCGATTGGTGTGAAGGCTGCCGTAAATGCATCAACGGAGCCTAAAACCGCCGCCCCCTTCCTTGGACATTAACGCGTGACAGACTCTTCCTTGCCATACCCCCGTCCCCGCCGAACCCCAAACTTGATTGCGTGGGAGGGCGGTCCCAGCGGCCTCACCAACCGCCTCCGCCGAGTTGGTTTTGGATGTGCCCGAAGAAAGTCCCTGGCGGGCCCCTGCCCTTCCAAAGCATCCCTTTGGTCCTAAGGATGGTTCCGAGAGGGTGCTTCGCACCGTCATAGTAGTGGCTCGGGCCAAAGTCGCCATGCATGGGGAGGCAACGCACCCAGCTTCAACTAGTGCTTCTGCTGTATACTTTTTTTTGTTTCCCGCGTGGTACGCACACGCTGGCCTTAGGAATGCCCCCCCAGGAGCCTCGTGCGGCCCGCGGGAAGACCCAAATGGCGGTCCACCCAGCCCAGCGATGCTCCACGGGAAACCCAGAAAGCCGTCAGACCTGGTCAGGATGGCCTCATGAGGGACCCAGGAACCCGAACCAAAAAAAACCTACGGGAGCCCCGGTATACCGCGAGACGGCCCAAAGTCGGCCCCGAGAGCGCTGCAGGCCACTCCACAACGCCCTCCACAAGTGCTACGCAACCATATCTCCAGGCAGCCCCGGAGATCTGAAACGGACCTCCAAGGAAAGCCCGAGACCTTTTTTTTTTCATCCCGGGATTTCCCCCGGAAACTCCACGCTGTTCCAAGGAGCAACTAAATTCGAGGTTCCCGAATATGTACAAAACGTGGGACCAGCTCTTGTGCATCTTCTCGGCTGGATCGCAATCGATACCCGAATTGATGAGCAATCGCTATAAGGCGGATGTGGCCCAAGCCTGATAAATCACCCAGTACCACCTCGACATATCCGGTGCAGGGTACGACTTTGCGGATCGAGCTCGCCACCTCCGAGGCTGTGCGGCTGACGAATTTGAATGCCGTCTGGCGGTTCCGCACTGACGCACGCAACGGCTCAGGCAACGTGACATGCAGAGTCGCCATGACAGAATCAGCGGTCACCGAAAGCTTCTCGGTCTGGGCAGCGCGCGAGCTCGAATGCTCTGGGCCGGGGAAAGGCTACAGAATAACACGTGGTGACAGAAACGCAGGCGGGGAAGAGAGGGCGGGGGAGCAGAGGCAAGGATAAGCGGGAGCAGAGGATACAACAGGAAAAGGGAGGATCATAGAGCTCCTGTGCCTCCTCCTCTGTCTCCTGTTCCTCCTCCTTCTGTTCCTCGCGCTCGGTCAAGGCCGCTCCAAGAGCCCATCCATGGGTTCGCCTGAGCTTGCAATTCGACGCGGACGGGGGTTTGGCAACGAGAGCGGCCAAAAGACCCAAACCGAACCAGAAAGGCCCCGACACAACCTCTACGGAACCCGAACGGCTTCCAAAGGCCGCGACTTCCAAAGACCGCGCATTTCGGGCCGCGTCCCGATCTTCTTGCGTTCCCCCGCTACCTACGCAGATGGCTCCCCCCCTGGGGTGGCTCCCAAATCCCCCAAAAGTGTCCAGCGCTCTCGCCGTAGTACAACATGTACACCCAGTTACCAATAAGAAGAAGCGACACCCACGTCGATCGGTCCAAATATATCGAACGGTACACCTGCTCTCAGGGAACCCATAGCACAGGAAATTGCCATAGTGTGCTTGACTGCGGACGCGCCGACCTGTGAAGTCGGCTTCTCCGCCACCGTGCCGCGTGGCACGGAGTGGGGGTGTCCTCACATCCCTTGTTCAATCCCCTGAGCCTCAGTCCCCACTTCTTTTATTGGCTTCTCGAGGCCCTCGGTCTTCGCGAGCCCCTGTCCGCGGGACGACGTAAAAGGCCTCCAATGGGATTTCCTCGGTGGTTTTTGGAGACAGTTCGTCTTCACGGATATTTGATTTTTGGCCGCGAGTGTGACTTCTTTCGGTGGCTTCTGGGGACGCTTGGTCTTCGTGGGGCTGTTTTTCGGGGAGAGATTGAAAGGCTCCAGCTGGAGTTTTGACGTTTGCACTGCGAGGCGGTCAGTCTTCGAAGGTATTCTTCTGGGGCGGGGTGTCAAAATGCAATGGGGTTGCCTGCGCGGCCATTTCTGCTACTCTTTGGTTTTCGGGGCGGCCCAAAGTTCCACGTGCGACTTCTTTGGCTGGCATTGGGTGTTCTTGGGCTGGCACTTTGAGAGTGCTTCGCTTTGTGGGACTTCTTTTTCAGGGCGAAGTCAAAAGTCTCGAGCGCGACTTCTTCCGCTGGCTTTTCGCGAATGCTTGTCTTCGAGGGGGTTCGGGCTCTTCGAGAGTGCTTTGCTTTGTGGGACTTCGTTTTCGCGGCGGGGTAAAAAGTCTCAAGTGCGACTTCTACCGCTGCCTTTTCGAGAATGCTCGTGTTCGTTGGGGCTCGTTTTCGGCAGCCCCATTTTTTAAACCACACTCCCGCTCCCGTGTAATCATGGAAATTGTACTCATGATACGTGCAACACGCCAACATCCGCGGTGCCTATGCCTGAACCCACGTACCCATTGTACACTCCCTTCCTCCGTGTGACTGATAGTGCCCGGGGCTCCAAGGCGAGAGCCCCATTTAGAAACCTGCCCGCCCTCCATCCGTGTAATTCCGGAAAGCCTTGCAAACAAATTCCCGTGGCTTCTCGCGTGACTTTTCGGGCCCACAAGGGCGTCAAGACGGTCCAAGTAGGCCCCCAGAGGCCCCCAAGCCCGCCCAAGAGGGCCCCGATACGCCCAGAGAGCGCTCCAAGACGCCTAAGTTTGCCCCAAGACGGGCCAAGATGCTTCTAAGACGGCCCAAGACGCCCCCAAGAAGCCTTCCAAAAGGGCCCTGAGAGGCTAAAATTGTTTATTTTTCCATTCTGATTTTCGATGTGTTTTGCCTTCTCGCCTTTTCGGCTTCCCGACGCTCCAAGACGGCCCTAGCGGCCCCGAAGACCGCCCCATGACGGCCCCAAGACGGCCCAAGACGGCCCCAAGACGGCCCCTAAAGGCCTCCAAGACGGCCCAAGAAGGCTCAAAGACGGCGCCAAGAGGGGCCCAAGAGGTCGACCAAAAATTCAACAAATCGAGCTTTCCGTCTGCAGGAGCCCAAGAGGGCACCAAGAGTGCCCCAAGAGGCCCCCAGAGACTCCCAAGAGGCTCCCAAGACGCCCCAAGGAGCTCCCAAGAGGCTCCAGGAGGGCCCCAAAAGATCCCAAGAGGCCCCCTAACGACCACCAAGAGGCTTCAAACATGCCTTCCAAAGGCCCCCGAAAGGCCTAACAAGAGACCCCGACACACATACAAGAAGCCTCTGACCCGTAACCCTGGCACGGTGGTGGGATGGGCCGAGGGGCCATTAAATAATACACCCCGGGACCATCACCAGGGCCTACCAGGTACAATTTTGCATCCAGGGAAGACTTCTGCCGGTTCCGAAGCCCGCAGACACACACACACAGAGGAGAACAACAAAGGAAAAGAGCCTCCAACCCCCATAGTGGCAGACCCCCCTCACCTCCCCTTCCCACACAGGGGGCGGCAACACGCGCTCCACGCACGCCCGAGCGCACGGTCGAAAGCGGGTTCGCGAGGACGGCCGCGGCGCTGCTTGGAAAAACTGCGACCCGAAGGCGGGCACGAAGAATACGGCCTGGCGGCAAGAACGGTGGCGGGGACACGGGAGCGGGAAGGCCTCGCCACGCCCCCTCCTCTTAATCCTTCTCCTGCGCCACTTCCAATATCCTCCTGTGTCTCCTCCTCATCCCCTTCCTCGTGCTCCTCCCCCTCCTCCTCCTCCTCTTTCTCCTCATCCCCCCCCTCCACCCTCGCTCTCCACTTCTCCGCGTCGGCCGGCCCAGGGAGGGGGAAGTCCCTCAAAAACAAATTCTACCGTGACAGGATGGCACGCCACCTCCCACCTCTCTCGACGCCTCCCTCTCCTTCTTCCTACCTCCATTCTGCCCTCCCCTCCCCCTCCTCTTCCTCCTCTTCCCTCCTCCCTCCTCCCTACTGAATCCTCCTTTCTCCACGTGCGTGGCATCATATTCAGACTGCACCAGATAGATTGCGCCACATAGATTACGTACACCACACGTCTTGCACCACAGATATTGCACCACATAGGTCGCACATCATAGATTGCACCGCATTTCTCGTACCACACAGAGTGCCCCACACACAGATTGCACCACATAGATTGCTCATCGGGGGCGCAAGAGCCTACTGTTTTGGCGGGCCCACGCTGGCTGACATCACGCTTTCACTTACAGTGTCCAGCTCACTTGTCCGACCACGGAAAGCGGGAGCAGGAGGGGCGAGGAGCAGCAGGAAGGAGGAACAGGAGGGAGGCGAGGGCAGGAGGAGGAAGGAGGGAGCAGGAGGAGGGCGCTTGTCCCGGTTCCGTGCTGGATGGCAGCGCTGGGACCCGCTGCGACTGGCAGCGGCCGGGCCCGACCGGGCCTTGCCGGCGAGAATGAATTATATATGCCGGAGTCTGGTCTCCATCCGCGACCCGAAGGCGAGCGCGCGAGATCGCGCGCGGGCCAGCAGGCGCCGGAGGGGGCCGAAACCTGAGCCACGGCGGGCTTGCGCAGGCCCATGGCCTGTCCTGCCACATTCTAAAGGGGGTCGCCCAGACCTGGGCCCGACAAGCAAACAGTGCCCGCCCACTCCCTCCCTCCCTCCCCCTGAGCCCCTCCACTGCCCCCCTTCTCTTCCCTCTCCGCTCGGCGTGGGCAGGGCGGCACGGAATGCCGCGCCGACGCGCATCGCCGGGGAAAAGCGCGAGGGGCAGGCCCGCGCCGGGCGCGACTCAGCGCTTGAGGAGGAACTCCTGGGCCAGGAACGCGGTGACGCCGATCATGGCCAGCTTGCCGGTGTTCACCACGACGTTGTGGAGGTAGACCATATTCTCGGTACCCTTCCCCGCCAGCACACCGACGGGGTCGAATCCGAGGTCGCCGGGGCAGCGGTCCTTCTTGTACTCCAGGCTGAGGATGTTGCCGTCGTCCTCGCTCTTCTGCAGGTTGTACTCGGCCAGCGCCTGGATGCCGATGCCGACCAGCAGCACGGGGGCCTGCACCTCGTCCAGGCCCAAGGTCGCGTCCAGGTTGTCCACGGCGCCCGACACGCCCAGCTGCTTCAGGACGGCCCCGCGATCCGCCTCCTCGAAGAAGCTGGCCAGGAAGACGACCATGGCGAAGCGGCCGTGCTTCACCTCAGACTCGCGGTAGTTGTAGTACGTCGTCTCCGGGACCGCCGTCGGCGCCTTGTCGAAGACGCCCGTGCCGACGGCCAGGTTCAGCGGGTCGACGCCCAGGTCCGCGTTGGCCAGCCAGGAGTCGCTGTATGCCTTGTAGCTTTGGGCCGCCCGCCGCGCAGCCCCGGCCCCCCGCTGCCTCCGCCGCTGCGCGCCGAGCGTCGCGCACGCGGCACCCAGCCCGAGCGGCGCGAGCAGCCCGAAGGAGCCCCCCGCGGCCGGGGGCGCGCCCGCCGCTGGCGCGCCGCGCAGGGCGGCGGTGGCCGGCGGGGCGGGGCCCGCGGCCGCGGGCGTCACGAAGGCGGGGGCGGCGAGCTCCATGGTCGGCGAAGAGGCGCGGCGGAAGCCAAAGGCAGGCAGGGCACCAAACGAGCTCGAGTCGCCACGGGTACGGAGGACGAGGAGGAGAGGCGGATGTGGCGTAACCCGATGAACCATCCCCTTCCTCGTCACGCCCCATACAGTTCGTGCACCAAGGGGGTCTTCTTTGTATTTCTAAGTGCTCGGAAAGGCCTGCCAGATTTTCGCCTGGTCGCCGCCCGTGGCCGCCTCGGGGCCGCCTTCTGCGCTGGCTGGGGCTTCTGAGTTTTCGGCCAGTGGCCGCCCGTGGCCGCCTCGCGCGCTGGTTGGGTCTTCCGGGTTTTCGGCCAGACGGCGCCCATTGCCGCCCCATGGCCGCCTCGTGCGCTGGCTGGGTCTTCCTGGTGTTCGGCCTGTCGCCGCCCGTGGCCGCCTCGTGGCCAGCTCCTGCGTCGGCTGCACCACATAGCTTGCGCCACGCAGATTGCACCATACAGACTCCACATAGATTCCTCCATGCCGGTCGCGCCTCATGTTATGCTGGCTTCCATAAGATGAACCATACAGGTTGCACCATGTAGATTGCAGCCCATATGTTGCGCCATGTAAGTTGCTACTCTTAGACTGCACCACAAAGATGGCGCCGCATAGGCTGCACCGTGTAGATTGCACCACGTAGATGGCATCACAATCAGATTGTACCACATACCTTGCGCCACATAGATTACGTACACCACACAGCTTGCACCACATATAGTGCACCACATAGGTTGCACATCATAGATTGCACCGCATGCATCGCACCACAAAGAGTGCACCACACACAGATTGCACCACAGAGATTGCACATCGAGAGTGCAAGAGCCTACTACTTTGGAAACCCCACGCTGGCTGGCATTACGCTTTATCTGACAGATTCCAGCTCATTTGTCTGACCACGGAGATGAAGGAGCAGGAGGGGCGAGGAGCAGCAGGAGGGAGGAGCAGGAGGGAGACGGGGGCAGGAGGAGGGCGCTTGTCCCAGCCCCGTGCTGGATGGCAGTGCTGGGCCCCGCTGCGAATGGCAGCGGCTGGGCCCGACCGGGCCTTGCCGGCGAGAGTGAATTATATATGCCGGAGTCTGGTCTCCGTCCGCGACCCGAAGGCGAGCGCGCGAGATCGCGCGCGGGCCAGCAGGCGCCGGAGGGGCCGAAAACTGAGACACGGCAAGCTTGCGCAGGCCCACGCCCTGTCCTGCCGCTCTCTAAAGGGTGTCGCCCAGACCTGGGCCCGAAAAGCAAAAAGTGCCCGCCCACTCCCTCCCTCCCTCCCCCTGAGCCGCTCCACTGCCCCCCTTCTCTTCCCTCTCCGCTCGGCGTGGGCAGTGCGGCACGGAATGCCGCGCCGACGCGCATCGACGGGGAAAAGCGCGAGGGGCAGCCCGCGCCGGGCGCGACTCAGCGCTTGAGGAGGAACTCCTGGGCCAGGAACGCGGTGACGCCGATCATGGCCAGCCTGCCGTTGTTCACCTCGACGTTGTGGAGGTAGACCTTGTTCTCGGTCCCCTTCCCCGCCAGCACGCCGACGGGGTTGAATCCGAGGTCACCGGGGCAGCGGTCCTTCTTGTACTCAACGCTGAGGATGTTGCCGTCGTCCTCGCTCTTCTGCAGGTTGTACTCGGCCAGCGCCTGGATGCCGATGCCAACCAGCAGCACGGGGGCCTGCACCTCGTCCAAGCCTAAGGTCGCGTCCAGATTGTCCACGGCGCCCGACACGCCCAGCAGCTTCAGGACGGCCCCGCGGTCCGCCTCCTCGAAGAAGATGGCCAAGAAGACGACAATGGCGAAGCGGCCGTGCTTCACCTCAGACTCGCGGTAGTTGTAGTACGTCGTCTCCGGAACCGCCGTCGGCGCCTTGTCGAAGACGCCCGTGCCGACGGCCAGGTTCAGCGGGTCGAAGCCAAGGTCCGCGCCCGCCAGCCAGGGGTCGCTGTATTCCTTGTAACTCTGGGCCGCCCGGCGCGCAGCGCCGGCCCCCCGCTGCCTCCGCCGCTGCGCGCCGAGAGTCGCGCACGCGGCGCCCAGCCCGAGCGGCGCGAGCAGCCCGAAGAGCCCCCCGCGGCCGGGAGCGCGCCCGCCGCTGGCGCGCCGCGCAGGGCGGCGGCGGACGGCGGGGCGGGGCCCGCGGCCGCGGGCGTCACGAAGGCGGGGGCGTCGAACTGCATGGTCGGCGAAGAGGCGCGGCGGAAACCAAAGGCAGGCTGAGCACCAAACGAGCTCGAGCCGCCACGGGTACGGAGGACGAGGAGGAGAGGCGGATGCGGGGTAAGCCGACGAACCATCCCCTTCCTCGTCACGCCCCTAACAGTTCTTGCACTAAGGGGGTCTTCTTTGTATTTCTAAGTGCTTGGAAGGGCCTCCCAGATGTTCGCCCGGTCGCCGCCCGTGGCCGCCTCGGGGCTGCCTGGTGCGCTGGCTGGGTCTTCTGGGTTTTCGGCCAATCGCCGCCCGTGGACGCCTCGCGCGCTGGCTGGGTCTTCCGGATTTTCGGCCAGACGGCGCCCATTGCCGCCCCGTGGCCGCCTCGTGCGCTGGCCGGGTCTTCCAGGTTTTCGGCCTGTCGCCGCCCGTGGCCGCTTCGTTGCCACCTCCTGCGCCGGCTGCACCACATAGCTTGCACCACACAGATTGCACCACACAAACTCCACCACATAGATTCCACCATGCCGATTACACCGCATACTATACCGCATCACATAGGACAAACCTATGGATTGCACCATGTAGTTTGCAGCCCATATGTTGCGCCATATAAATTGGTAGTATTAGACCGCACCACAAAGGTGGCGCCGCATAGGCTGCACCGTGTAGATTGCACCACGTAGGTGGCATCACATTCAGATTGTACCACATAGATTGCGTCACATAGATTACGTACATCACAAAGTTTGCACTACATAGGTTGCACCTCAAAGATTGCACCGCATGCATCGCACCACGGAGAGTGCACCACACACAGATTGCATCACATAGATTGCAAATCGAGAGTGCAAGAGCCTACTGTTTTGGGGGGGCCCACGCTGGCTGACATTGCGCTTTACCTTACAGATGCCCGCTCATTTGTCTGACCACGGAGAGGAGGGAGCAGGAGGAGCGAGGAGCAACAGGAGAGAGGGGCAGAAGGGGGGCGGGGCAGGATGAAGGAGGGAGCAGGAGGAGGGCACTTGTCCCGGTCCCGTGCTGGATGGCAGTGCTGGGCCCCGCTGCGAATGGCAGCGGCTGCGCCCGACTGGGCCTTGCCACCGAGAATGAATTATATATGCTGGAGTCTGGTCTCCGTCCGCGACCCGAAGGCGAACGCGCGAGATCGCGCGCGGGCCAGCAGGGGCCGGAGGGGGCCGAAAATTGAGCCACTGCGGGCTTGCGCAGGCCCACGGCCTGTCCTGCCGCTCTCTTAAGGGGGTCGCCCAGACCCGGGCCCGATAAGCAAGAGTGCTCGCCCACTCCTCCCTCCCTCCCCCGTGCCCCATCCACTGCCCCCCTTCCCTTCCCTGTCCGCTCGGCGTGGGCAGCGCGGCGCGGAATGCCGCGCCGACGCGCGTCTCCGGGGAAAAGCGCGAGGGGCAGGCCCGCGCCGAGCGCGACTCAGCGCTTGAGGAAGAACTCCTGGGCCAGGAACCCGGTGACGCCGATCATGGCCAGCCTGCCGGTGTTCACCTCGACGTTGTGGAAGTAGACCTTGTTCTCGGTCCCCTTCTTCACCAGCACGCCGACGGGGTCGAATCCGAGGTCGCCGGGGCAGCGGTCCTTCTTGTACTCCACGCTGAGGGTGTTGCCGTCGTCCTCGCTCTTCTGCAGGTTGTACTCGACCAGCGCCTGGATGCCGATGCCGATCAGCAGAACGGGGGCCTGCACCTCGTCCGGGCCCAAGGTCGCGTCCAGGTTGTCCACGGCGCCCGACACGCCCAGCTGCTTCAGGACGGCCCCGCGGTCCGCCTCCTCGAAGAAGATGGCCAGGAAGACGACCATGGCGAAGCGGCCGTGCTTCACCTCAGACTCGCGGTAGTTGTAGTACGTCGTCTCCGGGACCGCCGTCGGCGCCTTGTCGAAGACGCCCGTGCCGACGGCCAGGCACGCCGACGGGGTCGAATCCGAGGTCCCTAGAGGCCGACGTCGATGAGCGACATCGGCCTCTAGGACGCGAACTGCACCACCGATTGGTGTGAAGGCTGCCGTAAATGCATCAACGGAGGCCAAAACCGCCGCCCCGTTCCTTGGACATTAACGCGTAAGAGCCTCTTCCTTGCCATACCCCCGTCCCCGCCGAACCCCAAACTTGATTGCGTGGGAGGGCGGTCCCAACGGCCTCACCAACCGCCTCCGCCGAGTTGGTTTTGGATGTGCCCGAAGAAAGTTCCTGGTGCGGCCCTGCCCTTCCAAAGCATCCCTTTGGCCCCAAGGATGGTTCCGACAGGGTGCTTCGCACCGTCAAAATAGTGGCTCGGGCCATAGTCGCCATGCATGAGGAGGAAACGCACCCAGCTTCAACTAGTGCTTCTGCTGTATACTTTTCTTTGTTTCCCGCGTGGTAAGCACACGCGAGCCTTAGGAATGCCCCCCAGGAGCCTCCTGCGGCCCGCAAGAAGCCCCAAATGGCGGTCCACCCAGCCCAGCGATGCTCCACGGGACACCCAGAAGGCCGTCAGACCTGGCCAGGATGGCCTCATGAGGGACCCAGGAGCCCGAACAAAAAAAAACCTACGAGAGCCCCGGTATACCGCGAGACGGCCCAAAGTCGGCCCCGAGAGCGCTTCAGGCCACTCCAGAACGCCCTCCACAAGTGCTACACAACCATATCTCCAGGCAGCCCCGGAGATCTGAAACGGACCTCCAAGGAAAGCCCGAGACCCTTTTTTTGTCATTCCGGGATTTCCCCCGGAAACTCCACGCTGTTTCCAGGGAGCACCTAAATTCGAGGTTCCCGAATATGTACAAAACGTGGGACCAGCTCTTGTGCATCGTCTCGGCTGGATCGCAATCGAT